GGGGGGGGGGGGGGGGGGGGGGGGTAGAGGGGGAGAGACAAAAGCCAAAATAAAGCATGTGACCACCTACCAACACACCTTGGCAGAGGGGAACTCCACACCCGCCTCCTGCCCCCCAAGCAAATCACCCTCGCCGGACCCTCGAGTCGGTAACCCGGGAAACAGGAGAAGATGAGGGCGTCACCCACTCCGTACTGTAGTCCCTTTCTAGTACTGTAGGGTGGGATGCCAGGATCCTCACATGGCTCCAAATCATACTCTGGAAAAACAAATGTGTTAAAGTGTAGATTAAAATGATTATTAAGACTTCTGGCATGCTCTGAAGGGTTGAGAACTTCTTCTTACTGATAAAACGTAAGGGGTGCTTAAATGAATTGAATGCCCTTAAAGTCCCAGATAACATCCTAACCACATGGCACGACATGTCATTTATTAATATCAATAACCATCATGTGCTTTTGAGGGGCCAAGTTGTACTTCTCAACATTTGTTTCCATTCATTCAGCCGTCATTTGACACCCTTCCTGTAAAGCTAAATATGTTTTGAATAGGCGGTATTCAGTATTTCAAACTGTCAGTCTATTAGCTTCTGTGAGATCCCTTCACCTTGTCTTGCTGTTCAAATCAAGGGATGCTGTGAGAGCAAAAGGAGATGAAATGATGCTCTCAGTGGGTAAAGGGCCATCTGTGCTCCATCCTAATTGGTTAATTTAAAATTAATCAATTCTCTTGATGTTAACCATTTCATTATTCACTCTGGAGTGGCTGTAATTACATATTTCTGGGACACATACTTAGAAAATCATTTGCTACTTGTTTATGGCGGCCTCCTCCTAACTGAGCTTTGCTGTTTGTGTCAATAACCTATCGAAGCAGACTAATGAAAAGGTCAAGGCAAGACTCTGATCCACACTCAGGAGCCTGAGACATCCACTCTCAACATGAACCTTGAGTGCTTAATGTTCTAACATTTCTTTCCAACCTCTTGGTCTCAGTCTCTTGTAAACGATTAGCATGGTTCAGTGCCATCACCAGCACTTTCAGCTATTTCCCTTTTCATCTCTCAGTATTTCAAATAACTATATCTAATCTTACCGGAGAAAGTGATGTTGAATCCCTCGTAGGAAACGGAGAAGTCAGAGAGAAAGCGGATCTGAGCCGTGTAGTTTCCAAACAGGCCTGCGCTGAGAGGTGGAGGCAGTGTTGAGCCCGTCAGTCTCCACAGAGGCTGAGAGAAGCTGCCGTTCTCTGTCACCAGCAAATGGTCGTGAGGGCTCTCGAGGTGGAAGGTGTGGAAAGTGAACTGGACACCTGAATAGAAGGGGAAGAAAGATCCACTGATCAATATGTGTCGTTTATATTACATTTTTTAACCTTCGTCTTGAAGTCTTTCTCATTATTACAGGAAATGTGTTCAAACCATTTTTTCTTGTAAATTGGAATTTGTAGTGTTTTAAAGTGTTTTACTGCTGGAAAGATGGCCATTCTATAAAACTGGGCTGTCAGTCAAGTAGAAAGAGGTGAATGCTTTTGAAATTGGTGCCACGTGACCAGAGAAATCAGAGAAAAAGGGCTGTGGCATTTGCTTTTTCTCTAGAGGTAGGAAACCTCCAACTACCAGAAAGCTCTGCCCCACACCAAACTAATAAATGCGCCTCTGGTTGGTGACGTAATGCGAGCTTGTCCATATTGAAATAGAACACAGTATGTCAGTGGGGTGATAACAATCAATATCGATTTGCAGTGAAAAACATTTTGGGAGAGAAACAGGGGACTAAGTAACAAGATCTTGGCTCATATTTGAACAGCACTGCTTAGTTTTACCATTTAATCTCAGGTTTTATAGCCTCCATTTTTACAATACAGGAAACAGTAATATGCCCATTTCCTGTTGACAAATTCCCATTTTAAAGCCATACAGTGCATTAAAATATATTTCCAAAGACATTTTGGGCAAGAAATAGACAATACAGTCACAGAATCTTGGTTTATACTTGATCAGCACTGCCTAGTTTTACTGTTTGATGTGGATTTGGTCTGAGTTTTAAGCCCTTTTTAAAAAGGAATTGTGCAAATTTGCAGGAAAGCCCAATCAGTCTTCGTTCTGCATTGGCAGTATAAAAACAAAATCAGGGAGTGCAGCAAAATGCCGCCTATCTACTTTTATTTATACAGAATGCTCCTTTTTCGGGGCAATGGGGGGCGTGAGCAAGTAACAAAACGTGTAGCTCAGGGTGTGACGTAACCAGTGATGTGGGAGGGAAGCCGCGGCTGGTCAGGCAGCGATTCTCTCGTAAATCGGCCCGTTATTCACCGTTCCCGTTGTCTGACAGTTAATGGCCTCTTCGTTCGTGAGGGCAAGGAGGGCGCGCAATTCTTTGTCTCCCCAGTTGCTCATCTTTACAGTGTCTGCGTTTCCCCCTTTCTTCTAGCTGCTCGCTAATTCCTGCTATCAGCTGTTTCCTGTTTATCCACCGCCAGTGGCTCGTATGTGCGGCGTCATCAACAGCTCCTCCCACAAGTCTTCAACAGCTCCTCCCATTGCGGAAGGCCGCCTCGGTCTGTTTAAATTAAAAGGGTTCCGCCAATATGTTTACCCTACGAGGCGGAAAACTGGGCTCCTCGGATCTACTCACCAAACCGGCTATGTGTGTCTAAACGCTCGCAGCTTGCCGGCAAAACGGCCCAACATTCGCAGAAAATCTGGCAGTGTAAAAGGGGCTTAAGAGAAAGAGAGAGAGGCGGCTCTCTCTCTATCTGCTTCTTTTCTTCTTCTTTGCTTCTTCTTTATTTGCTTCTTTGCTTCTTTGGCAGTGGGCATAAGAAAATGCGGATGTACTATCTGTAGTTTAAGCAACAACTCAAGAGCTAGCGAAAATCCACCAGATGATGAAAAATGCATCTTGGAGCTGGTAAGATGGAGGGAAGGTTCCCACAGTTCATTTACACATACTACCCACATTGTTGGGAGACAAATCTGGTTGAAAATCTGCAAAGTATCCCCTTGAGTAAGGAAAAAAATTAATTGCCTAATGAAATCTCATGTTCAATGAAAACAGGCTGAAGTCTTTGTATTTATATGAAACACAATATTCTCAGTTTTATAATGCATGCAGCATCAATTCCCTGTCCTCCATCCCTACTGCTTATCAAACACATTACACCCACACAGAGAGCGCATCTGCAAATAAGGCTTTGTCAATTGATGTGAGCGCTCTACCAAAGTTGACATGACTGGAGAATCATCCCGTGGCACTGTAGCCCTAGGCCAGCCTCTAAGCGCTCCAGTCTTTCACAGACAGCTTGTTCGGCAAAATAAAAAGGCCACTCAGTAGGGGGAAATGACATTGTAAGGGAAATTGAATTTGACTGCTGCATGTGTTGACACGGAATTTCTCTGCTAACCTTTGCCATGGGAGGTCTCGATTATCCACGTGCAGTTCAGGTTGTGTGGGTAGAAGTCTGGGAAGCCAGGTGACAGGATGGTGCCAAAGTTGCCCTGGATATAACCTCCACACAATGCTGACGACACAGGGCGTGTGGAAACAGCGGGAGATGGATGAGGGAGAGAAATGAGAAGAGAGCAGAGATGCAAAATCAGAAAGGGCAAAACAAAGTGGACGAGGACGGAAATAAAATCCCCCCCAAAAACGAAACTTGTCTGTGCATTTACAATGCGGCAAAATACATTTTTACAAGAGGTGCCCTTCAAGACAGCATAAAAACGAGAGCGTGGTATCATCAATATCATTACTGAGTAGGCAGAAATCAATACTGTCCTTAAATATAAAAGCATTTACAGATGAGGAAAAAGGGGAACATCAAAGGGCAAGCTCACGGCCGCACATATAAAACATTTATGATGAAATGAAGCAGAAACTTTTTTAAGTCTAAAACAAGAGTTGTTGAAAGAAACGTTATCATCTTATATGGATTTTATAATAACTCTGAAATATAGGGCAATTTAAATGTGATGCAACATGAAGCAAAGTGCTCAAAACCATTTCTCATGTTTGGTCTGGAATAACATACAACAATGAATTTAGCTTTAATCCCATTTATGAATAGGAGGAAATCTGGCAAGAGACTATTCATTTCTAGGTCAATATTATGGAACGTACCATCGCAGCTAGGCAGGGGGCGGCTCCACTGAAAATTGGGTTCACATTCTAAGGGCTCTGTGTCACTAAGTGTGTACCCCGCGTCACAGCTAAATGTCACCAAAGCGCCCACGTAGAAGTCATTGCCGTGCCGCTGTCCGTTGACAGGTATACCAGGGTCCACGCAGTGATCCGACTGCAACTGCAGGGCTGGAGAGGAAGGGGACAAGAAAGAGACAGATAAAAAAAGATTAACAGACACAGATAATGAAAATCCACCTGCTTTGCTGTGTAATTTGGGCTTATATCCTGTTTCCAAAAGGTGGAGTGGAGGTCAAGAAATGTTAGGCGGCAGTTTGTTTTCCCAAAGCAATCCTAATAAATAATTTACCCGAACATCCTTTTTTTAACAGGAATAAACCAATGAGAAGTTTCTGTACTCTGTCCCACTCCAGCTTGCATGGTTTCTGCCTAAGTAATGCTCGTAGTGAATTATTGAAACTTTACAGAGGTTCATCGCAGAGAAAAGTTTAAAAGGTTACCAGCGTGAACCACACAGGTGGAAATCAGGGTAGGACTGTTTTAAGAATTGGATTTAGAGCATGAGTGAAGACTAGTGAAAGGTAAAAGTGTGTGTGTGTGTGTGTGTGTGTGTGTGTGTGTGTGTGTGTGGCAATGTGTGTCAAGTCAGGGATATCTGACGTAACAATCTCACCCTATTTACTTTCTAATTACAGGTGTTCTAATAAGAGCAGCTTCACGGTGAAACTGAGAGCTTGCAGAGATTATATTTACAACCAAGACTTAATAGCTTTTAAAAGCACACTTTACAAGGCGTATGGCTGCTGCCTCTGTACTGTAATATTAATTTCCTTTAGGGTCCTTGGAGCATGGGTAAATGTGCCCTTTTGTATCCTGGTGTAGGTCTGACTTTGTGTTATCAAGTTCATAAACTCTAATGCCTTACTTTCGTAACGAATGCGGAAGCCGATGTCAGAGTGGCTCTTGTCGGTCGAGAAGAGGAGATACAGAAAGTTGGAGGTGCTTATGAGGAACTGAGGAACCTGGGTACCCTGGTAACTACCAATTAGAGGTGAGGAGGGAAAACGTCCATCCCGCACCTCCAGGACATCATAGTTGACCTCTGTGCGGAACCTGAGAATAGAGAGGGAAGTTGAACGAGGATCTTTATGCTTCACATAAAAAGAAAAAAGAAAATAAGTCCCCACATAACAATGACTGTATAAACTATACACTACTTCCCCACCAAAATTTGCAGGTATATGCAGGGTTTTTAAATGCAGGAACACCCACTACAAACAGGTGATAGACTTCTTTTCCATTGCCAGTGGACAAATATATTATATGAATATATTTCATACATTTTTTTTAATTTCTGGATTCAAACAAACATGCAGGAGAACAGGGTTAGTAAACAGCAGAAAGCAGCATGGAGGCCATCTCTGTTACTTATTCAGTCTCTCTTTCCAACTCAGATTAATTTTAAATGATGCTCATGAGCTGCTTGGACGGAGATGGAAGGAATTTGTGGCTGAGATGACAAAGAGTTGCAGAGGCTGACGTCTGCGCCAGGAAATAAGTGCATCCACCCAAGTGTGATGTTTTAAATTACTGCCGATCTGAGGCAATAAGAGCTGGAGCCAATAAAGGTCTGAATAATAAGGGTCGATAAGGGTCTGAAAGCTGTCTTACAGAGGAGCACTGTGTCAAAATGTACATGCTAAATTAATAAGTATTTTACCTAATTTTTGCCCCAGGCCCCAAAGCGGAATAATCTGCTTTTGGGCAAATGGGCAACACTAAGTTAATTCAGAATTAATAAGTAAATCTATTCATCAACAAACTATAAGACAAACTGAAAAACAGATTAATAGATAAATGTTTTTAGACATTTGGCCTCGATTACAATTAAAAAACTCTCATTCTACGCAAACTGAAGGAAAAAGGCTGATGCTTGAATGAAGCGTATTCAGCTGGATAGACAATAATTCAAACAAGATTTTGACAGTATGAATATCTTTACATCAGCTCAGAATATTTAGCTTCTGAAATCAGGAGGGTTAAATTTAATTATTTCTAATTTGCACATGTTGCGTTCTAGAAAATTCTGAGAAATTTGGCACACTTTGGTGCGCTCATCTGTGTGGCATGCATGCGTGTGTATGTGTGTGTGTGTTTGTGTGCATGCTCATTGTCTGCTTCTGTCTTTGTTGCCAGAGCCCCTTCATCTTCAAAGCCCTGAATAAATTGCTTAGTTTCAGTACCATGTCATCTAAATGAAGCGGTTTGTGATATTTTATTGATGTTACATAAAAATTAAAGAGCAACAAACATTTATGTTGTATTCATTTTGCATGGCATGCTATCGTGGCGGGGACAAGGATGAGATGGGCTCGCAAGGATGAGCCTTAGTGAAACGCTAATGTAGCGTTTGATCCTACAACTGTATGTCTCTCTCCGTCTCTCTCAAACATCAGGACAAATTATCTCCTCTCCAATCTCTCTGGTTGACCTCCATCTCAGCTTACATGTACATTCACAAACACGCAGGTGTAATGCAGCTTTTTTGCGTGGATGTGTATTTGTGTGTGTATGAACTGTAAGGATATCTGATGATCTTTGGGGAGGGGGTATCAACTGAAAGAATCAAATACTTATGAGCACTTACTAAATAAAACATAATGTTATCCTGGTCGGGGGTGTATGTTAATGTGCATTAGGTCTACTGCATTACCACCAGAAAGGGAAAACGGAGGAAGCGATTAAAGAAAGTGAAAGAAAGCAGCGAGATGGATGTGAGCACATATTGAAATCATGAGAGGGTAACAGCAAGAGAAATCCAAAGCTTGCTCTGAGGAAGAAGAAAAAAAGAACAGTGACGCAGCAGCAGTTGCTATCTGACTCACTTGTCGAAGATGATCTTGATTGGGTAGCCTGGAGGAGCCTCAATGATCCATTCACAGTTAAGAGCCTCCTTATAGAGTTCTGGCCAGCCAGGGGAGAGGATGATCCCACTGGGAGCCTTCAGATCCCCTCCACATGGGGCTAACAGAGAGGGAGAAGAAACAGAGAGGGAGAGAAAGAGCAGATAGAGATTGAATTATGCATGTCTTTCCCAGCTGATGTATGACACCGTCCATAGATGATCCCATGCATCAGCCGGGGCTCATCCCATTTCTTTTAGTGCCAGGGTCTATTTAATGTAAATTGGTGACAGCTCACTTCAAGGTTAACCACTTCTCCTAGGAACATACGTCTTTATTGTACATGTGTGCATGCGTGCACAAGGGCAAGCATTACATATCCATGTGTGTGCATGTTTCCTCCCCGAAGCTGTTGTCTTTAAATCTGTCATCAAACCCCGCCTACGAACATGCTGCTGTCATCCCCATCAAACGGAGAAAATGGAGCATCTTTGATCGCCCGGGACAACAGACACTTGAGCAAACCGACCCCTCACCTGCACCCTCATCTCTGTTACTGCTCACTTTGCGGTGCATCTGTGTAACTGCCTATCCTTAACCAGAACACACAGCCACAGTGGAGGGCTTAGTTACAATGCCAGCTCCTCGCTCCCTTTGAAGTGGAATGATTTAATCAGCCAACTCAGCATACTGAAGGACATCTATAAAACGCATTACACTACAAACGCAGAGGTATGATAGATGGTCTCAGAGGAATACAGAGCTGCTGTGGCACACAGGGGGAAGTGACATGTTTTCATAATGGTTTCTCCTTTGCGTAGTATGAATAGTGAGCCTGATTAGGCCCCTTCAAGCCCTAACCATGTCTGTGCTTAATGTGCTACGCTGCTGGTGTCCAAGAGCCTGAGCTGGTTAACGACAAGCTTTATCTTAGCTTTGCCAGCTTTACTGATTTGCTGGAAATTGTTTATTGATATTAAGTCAGAGTGGGGCGTATGGATGGTCCGGCAATCCGCATGCAAGCACAGCATGTCTGCAGCAACAAATACGTGGAAGAACAAAGCTTGTGATTGTATCCTTTCGTGATTCAAGCTGTAAGAATTTATGATATTATTGATATCTATTAATTATTTCTGCAACACTTGTAAAAGAAATTAAATTATCGTATCCCAGACGAAGCAGCAAATCCATTTTCAGATTGATTTCTGGTCTTCCTTTTTATCAATACCATCCATTATCAGCATATCCATTCATTATTTGGGTGTGCAGAAGAAATAATCTATTTGCAATCCTTAGATGCAGCAATGATTCATTACTTGCTACGGCGAAAAACATAGTCCAATTTCATCGGTTTATAACAGATGTACAGTGGGCACCTAACTAATGAGATGCTGGACTACAGAACAAATGTTTTCAGATGAAAAGATATGCACGTCCTCCTCTTAATGACTTAAATCCTCTGCATATTATTTACCCTGGTGATATCTGGATTTTTGTGAACCATGCAGCTAACTATGCCAGCTCACACACAGCTGTGTAATGCGTGATATTGGATAAAAAATATGGAATAAAACCAACTCATCTTGCTAATATTTATAACTAATATCAAAACTGTGTCAGTGAATTTAAGGATGTTATTTTTTATACACCCATATGTGTCCCCAGCAACAGGCTTCATCTCAATCCATCTAATGAAAATAAACATTTACTGGAGGGAACAGTTCAACTGCCAGAATCCTCTTAACAATGTGGAACCACTCCTTCACTCACCTTCGCAGCGAGGAACTGCATTATCCCACACCACGTTGCCGTCCTTGAGAATGCAAGAGATGGTTTGCGAGCCGTGGGTCTTCACAAAGCCCTCCTCGCACAGGAACGAGATGGAGCTGCCCAGCTGAAGGCTCTCACCAAAGCGCTTCCCGTTGACTGGCACACCAGGGTCTGGGCACTCGTTGTGGCGAAATGCTGTTGAAAATACAGAGAAGAGATCGGGTCAGAGTGAAAGAGAAGATGTGAGTGTGTGATGATAATGTATACGTTTTTAAAGGTAAGAAAAAAAGTCACTGGTAACTCCCCTCAGTTATGTAACATCAAGTCATAAAACCTAAGAAAAAACCTTTGTTTGACACGATGCTTTAAAAAGAAATGAATCAACAAAGTGTCATCTTGTTGAAACCGAACCACACCTGTAATTCTGCTGGTTTTATACCTTGCCCCACTTTACATTTTCTGTGCAAGGATGCTAATTTCCATTGAGATTCTAAAATAATTACCCAAGTTTCTGGACAAAACTTTTTTTTTCTTCTCTGCTGTCAGCATTTAGCAATGCCAGCATTTAACGAGAGGGAATTTGTTTCACTTAGTGAGTCACATTGATTCACCCTGCTGCAGTGATTACAGAGGGTGGGAAACCACACCGTATGCAGATCATCAGCGCCAGATGACACTGCTGAATGATTCGTGGAGTAAACAAACGGGGAAAATTGTTTTCATACATCCTAAAGATTTTATCTGTCAGGCCTCGCTGTGAAACTTCAAGCAGGGACCAGTTAGAAAGTCCACAAAGGAACACAGTTGCATCAAAAGAGACATAACCCTGGAACAAGGCGTGTAAACAAATACATCACCTGCGCCACTATCTCTCTCACTTACTTTCCCACTCTCGCTCTTGTACACACGCGCAGGTAGGTGACACACGTAGGTGTTGATGAATCCCTCTTCTGTGTCCATTGGACCCAAACAGAGTGCCAGCCACACCTCATCCATCACGATCATCTTATTTATTAATGTGCCAAAAATCCCCTCAATACAGTTTGGCATGTCTTTAATTAACATGAATGATGGATCAGCCCCGCAACCCCGCTAAAACAGTCCTGCAGTTGGAGGACACTGTTCTCAGGAACTAAGCGTCATCTTCAATTAACTGCTCTTGACATTCATTCACCGAGCTGCATTGGTAATTTATTTATTCATCTAACTTGCTAATTAATGCATTAGTCGCCATGTGCTGTCCACATTGTGGCTTTACAGAGGCACCTGGGTTGGGTTCATGAAATGTCTGCAAATGAGATGGAGCCAGATTCCCCCCCCAAAAAAACATTCTGTGCAGGCTGCTGTATGTTATTTTAGCTAGAGCATAAATTATTTTAAGAACTAGAGATAGAATACAGGATCAGTCTTCTGAGTATATTGTAATTTCACAGGGGCTCTTTAACTTGGATATTTTGTTTTGCATGGGCATCCCTGGATTAGTGAGGTAGAATCTTTATTTTTTTAATGATTAATCTATTATTTATTTTTCAAAATAAGTTACAGTATAACATCTATAATGCTCAGCGCAAACTGTTTTTATTTACAAGGACAGATGGTCCGCTGCTGACTGGTTCAAACCCAGCTTCCAAACAGACTGGCTTATGAAAACAACTACAGTAGAGCCATATGTGGAGCAGTAGTTAACCAGAATTCAAGGATGTATCTGTGTGCACAGCTGCGATCAGGTACATTACCATTTAGTAATAAAAATAGACAGGTTGAGAGGAAATTGAAGATGATGTCCATTTAAGAGCTACATGTTTTAGTAAAATGGAAATAAACTGAGGTGTGTTGTAGCAAGGGAATATTTTTTGTGGCAGATTTTATTTGTTGATATTTGGACAGACAACAAAATTCTTTATTGACAAGCTATGTTTTTGTTTGACCACTTTAACTGTATTTTTGGTAGGGGTGCACAATATTTATAATAGGCTGATAAATTATCTGCCCACTGTGGGAAATTCATATTATTATGTAGTACTCCGATAATTAAACTATAGCAGATAAATAGACTGATCAGATAACACCAAGCCAAACTGTTTTCATTGACTTAACAAGCACCGCATGTACACACTCTAATACAGTCGGTGGTGGCTACACCTATAAAGTTGGTTTGCGATCCATCAATAAACACACAGATGAAGAAGAGTAATGAAGGCAGCATGCTGAGTAGAGAGCCAAACATGTTGTTGCTGATTAGAAGGTTTCTCAGAGTCTCAGACTGCGCTGGGAGTCTGATCTTGTGCTACCCAACTCCCGATTGGATCAGCAAACTTTCTGTTGCTGCCGTTACACAGGTGGAAGGCAGGAGGACCATCTCTAGAGCCGCTTTCATCCCGGCGAATATATGGTTTAACATGTTCCTGGTTGAGTCTACAGCACAAGCTACACAGCAGCAGTGGCTAGCACTTAACACAGTGCAGTTAAATGGTCCCAACAAACTCAAACGGACACCAAAATGGCTCAACCCCACTGGTAAAGTTGTTGACAAACAGTTAGCCCTCTCACTGTGTGTGTGGGGGCAGATCGTGTGGTGCGAAACACAAAGCCTTTATTTTTTTTTATAGAGTGATGTTCTTTACTTTTTGATTCAGTTAATTTTGTACAATATATTGACAAGTCTGAATTGACAAATTGTATCAAAGCATTTAATTTGAATTCATAGGCAAATGCTCTACAAAAAAAGTGGGACGTTTTTTGATGTCGTTTACCAGAAGAATAAATTAAGATTTGAAGAGTCAGAACTGTTTGTTGCTTTTGTTGCGTTAACAATAGTGATGTCAGTTACATTCGGGTAGGTTAGAGCTATGGAATATCAAATCTTCCGTCTTTACTCGCTGTATCTGAGTCTTTATTATCATCAATTGTCCATAAAAACTTTTCAAAACACTAAAACGGGAAATTGTTGGTTATGTTATTGGTGTAAGCCATGACAAGCAGGTATCAGTATTGTCCATATTGTGCATCCCTGATTTTTTATGTGTTATAAATCTGTGTGGGCTGGGCACATGTATGTGCATAATACAATAAATAACTAACAAAATGCTCCCAAGTCGATGAACAACTCTATAACACTGTGGTAAACTCAAGGTGAGAAGTACAAACAAGACCTGTAAATGCAACAAGCTGTGAAAGTAAAAATAACATTTTATTGCATGCATTAAAGTGAGCCACTGCAACTAATTTTAGTGCCAAGTTCTTAATGAAACAAATTTTCCAAAGACACTTTAACTACCTATGAAATAGTTTTGCTGCTTTAAGGGTTAGCTTTAGACCCTCTGTTAGGGGATATTTATTTTGGGATATGTAAGAATGCAAAGATCAGGCTCATTACACAATAATGCATATGCAATGAACGCAATAATCCTGCTGCCAGCCCTCACGGTACAGTACATCCATGAAATGGGTTTACCAGCACGCAGCCAAAGTGTACTGCGTCAGAGTACTAAACCCATCTGGAATTTCCTCAGAAGTCAGCAGCTACCCAGAATAGAATATAATGAGCACTGCCGCAATGTATCTGTCAGGTAAGGATGCAGCATCTTTGTTTGGGTTTTATTTAGATGTCAAGTCTCTATTTAGACAATAAAGACAGGGCTTTTTGTCATTTCTTTATGTGACTGTGTGTGTTGCTGATGAGTGGATGAGTTTATGCAGTCTGTGGGAGACAGAAATGGCAGATGATTCATGCATGCACACACAAATACACACAAACTGTACACTTGCACAAACAATCTAGAGTACAAAACATCCAGTCAGCAGGCTCTTGTGAGAGGCTTTAAAGACTTTGCTTTATCTCTGCTGAAAAAACACATTCAGTACGTACTTGTAAAAGTGATGTTAAAGCCTCTGTCTGTGTAGGTGTGGTCAGTCAGGAACTCCAGTCGGGCCACGTGGGCACTGGTTGTTATAGGAGGGGGTAGCGCATCACCAGAAAATGTACCCAGGATAGGAGACTCAGCCTGACAAAAAATTGATGAAGATTTTCTGATGAGACCAAATGTATCACAAGCTACAGCTCTAACAAGGAGGTATACAGAAATGTGACTGTCCAGGTTGTACAAATAATTATACAGGCTGCTTCTCCTACTGATCTACACAATGACTGAAAGACAGGTCAATAGTTGAAGTTGCCCAAAGAGCTATTCAAAGTAACCGAGGACAACACCTTATAATCCAACACTACCTTTCCACCGTCCTTGATCGAGAGGAAGTCAAATTGTTTCTCCATGCTGAGGTCATTGAAGGCCAGATTGATGCGGCTCTCAGGATTGGTGATGATCAGCCATACACAGTGCATATTGTTGCCGTACTCCTGAGGGTAGTTGGGAGACAGCAGCACCCCGGATGGAGTGGTAAAGTTGAAGAAACAGGAAACTATAGAGGTGATAAAGAGATATAGACAGAGAGAACGGGAGAGAAAAAGAAATAAAACAAAGCTACATAAAGTGAGTATTGTTTATGAGGCTGAAAAACATAGGGGTAGACTTCATTTACTTTTGCTGACGACGAGGCAATATGATTTGATTCATTATATTGAACCACTTCACATCCCACATACTGCACACAACAAAATAGGGAGGAAGACAACACTATAACCGACAATTTATTGTTGTGTAGCATAAGCACGTATAGGTATTCAATGGCATGTAACTGCAGGCTTACAGAGGGCAATGATAAATTATGTGGAAATAAAAGGAATGAAAAGGAAATATGTCTGAATTTGATGAAAGTTGCCAATAATCTTATATTACAAAGAGGTGATTGTGTACCAATATTTATCCACCATTATATGAGAGGAAGAACCCACTGGAAGCAGCAATCTTATTTAAGTAAGCCCTGTGGAATGAAATGGGGATAAAGAAAGCTTAAGCCTAAAAAATGTTGACAACATGTAATCAGAAAAATCTATTTTTTTTTCCTTGGTTGTCTGCATTTTTTACAAACAGCAAGACTTCCTTGTTTTTTTTGTTCAAATCATTGTTTCTAAGCAATGTGCAGCTATAAGGAATGTGTTGGCAACGACTATGAAAAATGGCCTAATCTCCCTTGCTGACTACTGTCAAGGCTGTCACTTGATCCCAATTACTCCAATGGATGAGTTTAAAGGGCACCAGCAGACTGCCTTTATGTTACTGGGCAGATGTAGCCTCCCTTGCAAAGCCAGCCCACCATCTCGGCTTTGTTCATGGTGTTCTGGCAAGGCTAAATAGGCATGTGCTTTGGTAAGGAGTCATGTGAACATGGCAGCACTGACAGTGCTCTCATTCACAGAGATATCTACAACTGATGAGGCCACTCCCGGGCTGTCATGAGCACTTGCTCCCATTTTGGAAACAACATACCAGGTCTGGAGATATTGTCAATTTCCTTGGCTATCCATTACACATTATAATCAGTTTCCAAATAAATCCGAGCTACAAAAAAATAGGCCATGAAAAGGCAGAGTGATCTATCTTCCAGCTGCTGGGATGTATTGACTGTTGGGGGATGTTTCACTTAACACTTAATTTACACAGGTTGACATTTTAAGGATGCAACCAGTTGTCTGGAAAACCAGATAATTCCATTTCTACAACTTTAAATGTAAACTATGTAAACCATTTGAAATGTGTGGTGATGTATTTTCACTGCAGAGCAGAGGCAGATTTAGGATTGTAGGACATCCGGGGCTTAGCCCAGATGGTGAATGAAATGTGCACGCTGACGTGCCCGGTGCTGCGCTGCCCGACCTGGCTCTGTCCTGGCTAAGGAGAGCGGCGCTCCGCTGCCCCGGAGCCACACAGCAGCAGGCCGATGCAGGGCGGTCTGGACCCAGTGCCAGTGACCTCGCTGTGGATCAGAGGCGGATTTAGGATTGTAGGACATACAGCCCAGATGGTGAATGAAATGCGCGCATGAAAATTTGGTGCTTTTGTTTTTTGCTGCAACACCACAACCTTCAAATTACCACCACCTTAAAGTAGAAAAAAAGGGACTAGAGAACATAAATTCATACCCTTTAGTCAAGTCAAGATACTTTATTAATCCATACTAATAATTTTCATCATGGAAAAAAAATGTTACCCTGGAGAATAATAAACAAGGTAATGCTTCTTCTTCAGGGCAGGCCCAGGCAGGCTACGCAGTACGCAGGCTACTTTCCCGCAGCTGCTGCCTCTCTGTTGGACTCCGGTACTGCACGTTACTCACAAGACAGTATTTTTTCCAAAGTAAAATTCACATTCGGGGCTTTTCAGAAAACATCCGGGGCTTGAGCCCAAGTATCCACCCCCCTAGCCCCGCCCCAGCTGCAGAGACCATGCCCTCTGTCGGTTACTGTCTTTTCATTTTGCTAAAGCAATCTTTAGGCACTGGGTCCGTAGCCCAGATGCAATGACAGTGTGCAGGTGAGACTGGGACTCTATAAAAAGGTAGCATTCAGGTGCGATGAAAATGGTGGACGAGCACAGAAAAAACACATATATAGCGAGACAAAATGCAGTGACAGTGAATCTGGGACTGGTGTCCACTTAAATTGGCGAGACAAAGAGGACATGACATCATATGTAGCCATGAGAGCTCACCATCTACACCAGCTGAGGATACTGGAGTTCAAAGATAATGAAACGTGGAAAGGTTGTAGTAGGGTATACACGATAACTTGAGTCTTAGTAACACAGAGCACTACTTTCTCTCGCAAATGCACATTAGATAGGTATTTATATGCACGGGAAATAGCCCAGTCATGGGAATACAACTATCAGAATTTGCAGCTTAGGTTGCCTTTTCAATATTAGATTAATCATAGTCAAACGCTCGCTCAGCAGTGCAGAAGCAATGTTGATTATTAATATTATCGTCCTCAGTCTCATTTGAGAGATGACAGGGCTTCTACTTTTTGCACTGATACTATAATGACATTATCTCAACCTTTCACTTGGCTTTGCATCCATGTGTGATTTGTTTGTAACTTCCATTTCTCCTCAGAAACTATTAGCAGCAGGATGTGCGCCAACCTAAAGGTCGGTGAGGTTTAGGATCGGAACACTGTGTTCCCTTGACTAAATAAAGGATATAAATAATTATGCCTAACACCTAATGCACCTGCAAACAAACAAGTAGGCAGTGAATAACTCTACATTCAGAAGAACAAATCATCTTATTAACATTATCAGCTTTAATGACAAAGACAAGCACACTGCATTGTGTCTACAACACGAATAAAATAGATTGTTAAATGTTTGCCAGTGTTATGTGGCCAAATTAACTCATGTGCCAGCAACCTCTCTGTCATTCAGCTCAGTGATGTTTATCCAGATAGTGCAGCTTTTTGTCCCCCCTATTATCCTATTAATAATACAATAGTGGGCATTATCTGTACGGTCAGCTCTCTTTCCTTTTGCCCGCACTCTTTGACTCTCTCACTCTGTGTGTTTGTCTTTCATGGTGTTAATTAGCTAATAAGCACTCCCATTGTTTCAGAATCCACAGCCTCTGCTAGGCAAACTGTGCATTTATTATGCAGCCCTCCCTGCACTCATCTGCACAAACATACATATTTATGCCCCCACTTGAGAAGCGTTGTACTAATGCACATGCCTGTACAAAGTGCGTGTAGAATCGTGTAGAGTAACATAAGGCATCTGAGAACTTACAGACGCAGCTGGGTTTCTTCGCTGACCACTGGTTGTTCTTCTGACAGGTGATGTTCTTCTTCCCCACCAGCTCAAAGGCGGGCAGACACTCAAAGTACAGTCTGTCCCCGTGACGAAATCCTGTCCCCTCCCGTTTGCCGTAAGCAGGGATTCCAGGATCTCCACAGCTGCCTTGGTCAATTTCTGTATAGGTGAAAATAAACACAAGAATATTAGGTATATGAAAGTGACATTGATGATAAAGCATTAAATCACGAGGAGAAACATAATGGTGGTATGAGAAATGACCACCTGCTTCTGTTACTTGGAGTCATAGTAGAGATAAATGTAAAGGTTACAGTTTAATTAACACAAGCCACCTCCCCGACTGTCCTCGCTTTAACCTTCATATTATCTTTAATGGCAAAATACTATTGTTTAGCACCACGGACAACCATAGTGGCTTTGTAGCAAAAGAGATGCATATTTTACTCCAGTTTTCCTGAGAAAATGTTGGATAAAGGCTCGAGAGGGAGAGGATGGGGCAGAGAGAAAGAGACATCTCAACTCAAGGTTATTACTGACTATAGCCTGCAGCAGATATTGACAAGATAGGTAATAAGTGATATGAAGATGCAGGACCTCTCACTAAATCGAAACAGATATTGCAGTTTCTCATTAAATCCAGTTTCAGGGAAAATGTGGGTTCAGCTTATTAACATGGAGTTACTGAACACTACTGATTTTTGCCTGACTCTACAATGCGACGGGGCAAAAGTCCTAGGACAGCCAACCGAAACACATTTACCCCCAAACTCAATTTATTCATTTACTTTTTAATTTACATTTTTTTTTCCTTCTGCTGACTGTGGAGGCCTGCAAGAACAGTGCATTCATGTGCAGACATATAGACTAGAAAAATTCCTTTCCTTATCATTCTATACTGTACAACACTGTTCTGCAGCTAACTCTCAACTGTGGATGCTGGAGCGTTCCACCAGCACACTCCTCACCTTCTTCCCTCAGGGTACACTCAGAAAATAATTTCACAACTTGTGGAAAACAGTGAGGACGACATTACATGCAGAATAAGACACGCTCTATATTATTACCACCACTTACAAGAGGAACATTGTGCCAACTTAAATCACTTGTTCAACAGTCTTAATATATTTTTTGTCACAATCTGTACATGTGGTGGGTCAGCTGATGTTTGTGCCAAAGTGAATTCTGGTTTAGAATTTGGTCAGACACACTTGACCTTAGACAAGATGAGGAAGAAATACTTCAATGACAGCGAAACTAGAATTACCGGTAACACTTTACTTGAAGGTATCTACATAAGAGTGATGACACTGTCATAACTATGACATAACTATGACATGACACGGTCATGAACCTGTCATGAACATTATGAACATGTCATAAACATTTATGACTGCTGTCATTAAGTGTCATTCGGTTTTTTTAATGACAAGTCGACATTTTTTGGGTTGTCTTGATTATGACAACTTGACAATAATCAAAGTGACATTACCAGAAGTTGTCTATGTCATGACAATTTGACATTGAATTTGTTTGGGATGTCCCTTTCATAACAACTTGACATTAACCAGGATGACATTACCAGAAGATGTCTTTGTCATAACTACTTGACATTAACAAAAAATGCACCTCTTTTTGTGTTTATGACAACTTGACATAATGATTATTACTGTTATGACAAAGACATCTTCTGATAATGTCATCCTGGTTAATGTCAAGTTGTCATTATAAGGACATCCCAAACAAATTTAATGTCAACTTGTCATGACAAACTTCTGGTATTGTCACTTTAATTAATGTCAAGTTTTCATAATCAAGACAAACAATGTCAACTTGTCATTACAAAAACTGAATGACACTTAATGACAGCAGTCATAAACATTTATGACATGTACATAATGTTTATGACAAGTTCATGACAGTGTCATGTCATAGTTATGACAGTGTCATGTCATCCTTATGTAGATACCTTAAAGTAAAGTCAGTTAGTCAGACAGTCAAGTTGCAGATACAGTTGACATCTACGTCTGTACAGACTCATATGTAGCCAAGAGAACTGACATTGCTTCAAACATGGTTGTTGTTGCAAAGAAACTACATATTGTTGAACATGAATGCTTCACACACATCTTCCCCCCGGCAGCACAGACAATCTATACAGTCAGCACAGTTTCAAGATGGACATGTTTTCTGAGGTCACAGTAACCTTGACCTCTGGCTATAAAATTCTAATCAATTCATGGACTTTTTTGCCAAATCTGAAGACATTCCCTCAAGGTGTTCTTGAGATACTGCATTCATGAGAATGGGGCATTCGGACAGACGGACGAAAAAACATAATGCCTGCAGCTACAGCTATGCCGAGTATGGAGGCATGAAAAATGTTCAGGTCTTGCACTTGTTTCAAATCAGTGTAGCATCAGAGCTTGTGTTTCAGCCTCATATGGGGGTTGCATGGAGTGAAAAAAGCCTTCTGCAACTGCCCAGCACTGTGTAAAATAAAAATCATCAGAGTGCTGGCTATTAGAGTGCTAGAGTACATGTCCTTAATAGTAACCTCAGTTGGGTAATGCGTCCCCAGCTGTAGAGTGTCCTGGGTCTGGCCATTACTTCAATAGTTCCTGGCTTTGTATAAATTTGGCATCAAAGCCATCCCTGCCTGGCGCCTTAGCTTCAACTGAAAGGATATAAGTGAATGGATATTAGCAATGACTGACGAGAAGAGTTCATTTTAGGCTGACAAGACGAGCTTTTACACTTTGTGACATCAAAATCAATGTGATTTTCCCATTGTCTCGTCACGCATTTAATTTCGGGATAATTTTGTTTGCCACTAAGTAGTCTTAACTGTCTCTTTATCCTCCCAGAATGTTACTCACTAATGTTGCAAACCTCTTTCTCATCCGTCTCTCTCTCCCCCTACAAACGTATCCCTCCCCTTACTGTGTGACAAACGTTCTCACTTACGTCGAACGCTGACGTGAGCACTTTCAGGTACATGCACATCACACACACACACACACACACACACACACACACCTCCATGAACACCCTTCTTCCTTAAAACCACACACGCCAATTTCATTATCGCAAGATTTATGCATTGCTCTTTCTTTCGCTCACTCTTCTTTCTACTTTTCTGAGGTTGCAGATTGCAGATGGGAATGCTGAGGCATCCTATCGAGGCATCCGGATGGGGGAACACAGAGAGCGAATAAGCTCATCCATCCAGGAAATGATGGCAGGGCCTAATACGATTTTAAATCGCACCAGGGGCGATGCTGGGTATAAATCCATACTCAGCCAGCCCTAATGATGATCATCATTTAGAACACATATTTAGAGCTCACTGCTGTTTGGATGTATGGCTGTCCTGAGGCAGCCTCGTTCACAAGACAACTCATTGATCTTACGTGGAAGTCACCTTTAAAAAAGGGGGGAATGCTGAGAGCGAGTTTTGAGGTGGGCCTGAGAGAAAATGAAAGGGGAAATAATATATATACAAGGGGAATGTATAGGAGTTCAACAGAAACAGCACCTGGACGAACACACCACACATACATGTGCAAATGCATACGAGCACACACATCATTATACAATGATTTGTTTGCCATGGTAACAGACTCACTGAAGAACTCCAATTCCCTGTAGTGCTTTTCTAAAGTAACGCCTCTCTGCCTCATGGGTCCCTACAATCAGAACTTTAGGGAAATGAAGGCAATAAATAAGAGCCCTTTGAAGTGTGTGTGTGTACATTGGCGTGTACATGTGTTTCATGGACTGTTGGTTGTCATACATGTGTTTGCGAGTGCGCATCTCTGTGTATACGAGAGCAGACAGGAGTGAATGAAAAGGCATTTGATTCTCATGAATAAAGGAGGAGATGTAATGGCATATTTGTTGTTCCTGTCTGTTTGACATTCTGGAGTAATCCGAGCATTGTAATGGGACCCAGACTCGCATTACTGTCAACAACTATACTGCAATCTCCTAAGGCCTAAAACGACAAAAGGACTTTAGCAGTCCAGTTTATTGGTATAACCAAACATTGCATGGACTGTCTCAATGGGCTCTACAGGCACACAGCAAATCAAAGCCTATATGTTAAGTATCTATACTGTGTGGACCTAACTTTATTAGTATGACATTATAGCAGGTATGCAGTTAAGTACCAGCATATCTTATCAGTGGGTAGCCCTATTCAATCACTGACAATAACACTTTGTAAACAGATGGTTACACATGGCACAACATGTCCAACTTTCATCTGTAAACAGCTGTCTGAATGGGCTCTAAAAACCTCACTCATACTGTTAAACAGCTAAATTTCTGTTGAAAGATTGAGGCCACTGCAGAGTGTCTGCAACCCACACTCAAAGACATGAGTAAGGTGGGAGTGTGTGTGTTTGTGTACTGGTATGACTGTGTTTGCAATTACACTTGATGATCAGGCTTAAAATACAAGTAATTGAGAATGCAAATTAGATTTTGGGTGCTCCAATCTGGGAGGTGAAGTGGTTCAAAGCGTTTCTTCCCCTTCATTAAGTAGAACTCATTGTTTTAATTACACTTTGGTTCAGCATGCTGCTCCACTTTCTCTGTTTATTTTTACTGATGAAAAATAAGCATCTGTGGGCAAGGGAGAAGACTCGCTGTGCCTCTGAGAGGCAATCGGCAGACTTATCTGGAAGAAGAGCCCTGGCAAACTCCCCACACTCACATGCATGCACACAGAGGGAGAGAACACAGACGTACAGATTCACAAACTCACACTGTCACTCCTCTTTGTTGCTCTCGTCTTCACACATGCACGCAAGCACATACACATTTCAAAACCTATTTTTAAAGGCAATGACTACGTACACCCACACACAGACACATGAGAGTACATGCGCACAGATACACATTAGGATTACACAAATGCATCAGCTTTCTGCGGGAGGCTGCATCAATGGCCCACTGCCTGTATACTTCTCCCTCATTAGTGTTCCAGGAATCAAACTTGACGCAAAAATTTAAGTTCCCCTCTAGACATATTTTAAAGGTCTAGTGTGAAGGATTTAGTGACATCTAGTGGTGAGGAGAGGGCTTTTTTTTTTTTTTTTTTAACTTTTTTTCATTGTCTGGGTCATGAGATTGTCTGGAGTTTTGCCCAAAGTACAATTTGACAAAGGAACAGTCAACTTCTATTCCAAAGATTTTCGTCGTTTCTTTGGCAGTCTCTTGCCAATATGGAGAAATTAGTGGGCATCCCCAAAAAATGTGAAAGTGGTCCGCGATTGGTTTACCACACAGCCTCCAGCATTCATCCCATATGTTTTTCCAGCAGAACTCCCACCAGGATCTTGAATTGGTAGTCCTAGTTTGTCCCTCCCAAATATCATTCCAATCATTCTCAGACATCTCCAGGCTTGATTCCCTCTCTCATTTCTGTTTGACCTGGGTAGTAAACTGCTCATTCTAAGGTAATAAAAAAAATCTTATTTTCAGGTGATTTTACGCTAATGAAAACATTCTGGATATGGTCTCCCCCTGCTAACCACCACTGCTTGTGGTAGGCTTTGTTTTTCGCTTTACACCTTCTCCAGTGCTACTCAGTCTAGGTTGACCATGTGAAAAAGCAGTGGCAGTGGCTGACACAGAGTTTGTGGTTGTGAAACATACAGTTTCAGCTACGATGTTACAGTGTGTTCACATTGGTCCAGTCTACATCCAAAAACTGCACACTGCTGTCAAAACTTTCATGAGGCTAATGCTAACCCTAGCTCTGCGCTGGTGGTCTCAGTCTGCTCCCATCAATATGTGTTTCCCATACTAGACAGCGATTGGCTTTCGTATTAGGGAAATGTCGGATCTAGTTTGCCTGAGGTATGTTTGAATATCAGATTTTAGGGAAATGCACAGACATTGCTGCCTTTCAGTGGAGGAACATGAAAACACCTCTCTAGTGACAGACGTTGCACAGACACAAGTCAGTAGAGTAAATGTCAGACATTTAGGGGACATAAACTTAAGAAAATCAAATTTTTTTGAGTGGAGGGGGACTTTGTGCATAGCTGCAATAGAACCAGCTACTTCTGATAGTCCTTGACTGTACTGAGTGCTTGGAACTGTATGTTTCCTTTAAGTGCTTTGTATTCTAGCAGTAATTTGTTGATGCAGCATGCGATGCGGCAGAAGGAGCTCACATGGCAGCGAGCGCAACGCCTGTTTTGTTATGACGCTATTAAGCTTCATTACAAAAGTCTTAGATGGGACAGATGGAGCACCTCTGACCCCTCCGCTCTTGAAACTAAACTCATGATGATGAATGCAGGGAAGGACAATAATGTTACAGTCAACTGGAGCAAAATGTGTTCTGTCAGTGCCCGTGTTGTCAGCTCTGAGCAATGAGCCACCGTGCACAAGGGTAAATGACTTAAAAAAAGACACTTCATTCCATTTGAGATTGTCAAACAAAGAGTTTTTAAAATGCAGCCAGCAAGCCGGCACATCCCGCTGACTGACAACCACAATATCTGAAGCATCCTCACCTTCATAGGAAACCTTGAATCCCAGGGAGCCGCTGGTGTCGTCTGTTTTGAAGTTGAGCCACATCTGGTGACTGGTGCTAACCACAAGGTCTGGAGTGGTGGTGCCAGACAGGCTGCACAAAGAGACAAAAGGACAAGTTCTTCTAAGATTGTTGTGAATATTTGTTTTTACTAAATATAGCGTGGCTGCAAGGTGCGTCAGTTGTGAAACCTGGGTTTTATTCTTTTCAATTATTATAAGGAGTGTTTGCACTTACTGCAGTCAGAGCCAGAGGCCCTGTTTCCACTGCATCATTAAAAAACTTTCATGCGAAGAGAAAAAACACAACACCTTGAGTTATATATTAAACTATCTGACTTTTCTCATCAAAGTAGAGTGCTCTAAAACTGTTGCAGATAATTCCATTCTGAGAAACCTCTTTTTTTTTCACCCTAACCCTTTAATTCAAAACAGTTGGAGACAAGAAAGTGGAAAATGAAGGCAAGATCAGTCAATGCCACAGAAGTAATTTAATCCTATTTGAATAATAATTCCCCCAACTCTAATTAGGAAGTGTATAGCTGTGGAGTAAGTGATTAAGGGCTCTAATTTTAGTGACGGCACAAAGAGGGTGGTGGGAGTGGTAAAGAAGCACTGTCTCTATCCTTTCCTGCAGCCTTTTGGTAATTTGTGGTGAGTCTCTGTGAACTTGTCTATGCAGATGTGAGAGGAAAGATGCAATATGAAGTGTGTCCAGATTACCGGTATCTAGTCTTGCATTTTGCTTTTCTTGTACTGTTTGCAAAACTAAAACTAAAAGCTTAGCAGCACATGTTTTAAAGACGTGTTGCCTTATCGGTCAATACAATTCCATTATTCCTAATTAATATGAACAGGTTTGCAGGTATGGATTTGTTATCAAACATTCAACCTAATTCAGCGTGATAAAATTCACCTGCAAGCTTATTACTGTCTAAAACACCATCCCTGTTGGTGGCCTATTTAAGGTAGTCTATCTGTTCGTGACAATTATGTTCCTCCAACACAAGGGCATCATTTTCCCCGTGGGAAAAAAGTTTGTGGCGGACTCGCACCAAATTGTTCTCTTCCATTATCAAACTGTCAGTGCACTGTGTCTTTCAAGCGAAAAGAAGGGATTTGATTGGCGGTGACTCACTACCTATTAAGCACATTTATGAGTGTGCTGCAGTAGGGTTACATGCCTCTGACCTTAAAGCTACAAAAAGACAATTCCCTACACCCTGCGCATGCTTGCCTGCACTGCTGATTCACAAAAAATACAGTCCTACATTACACCGTGTTGATAGCTGCAGTATATTCTCTGGTCCTAAATTGTTCTAGTTTGTTTGTGTGCAAGAGTGCATCCCATCTCAATGACTGAACTGCTCACTCAACTTTTGTATCATGAGGAAGTCCATGAGGGCAGAGGGAGTCTTTAATTGAATAGATTAGGTCTTTGCCAGTGTTTGTGTGTGGTGCAAGTATGTGCACAAAACTGTTAAAGTGAGGAACATCTTCACTTATCAACAAACCCCTCCTCCACAAATCTCTCCCTCATTTATCTCCCACCACCTCCCAGTTCCCACCCGGGCAAGGCAGTCTTGCATAAAAATTGATCTATAAAAACTTTATTAAGGTGGTAAATTTCAGCACAATTAATAACAACATCCTGTGAATTGTTATGGAGCATCTGCTAGCGCAAACTCCATTAGGGGGCATCAATATGCAGTTCGCAATGCTGCACCACATGGCTGTGATCTTGTTTTTAACATTGAAAAGAGTGATGATTGACAATGTGGTGCGGCATCTATTTTTCATGCACTACTGCATCAGGTGGTGATGAAACGAAAGAGAAACAGTACAGCAGAGCGAGGAGGGCTGGAGGGTAAAGGGAAGAGAGAAAGGGGTGCTGCCCGCTGCAGGGAAGTGGAGGAGGAGAAAAGGCAAGTGTGCCAAAAAGAAGAAAGGTGAAGAGGAAGGAGAAAGCAAAAGACAGAATATGATTACATGGAACATGAGTGGCGAAAATGAAAATGACTGCTCGAGACGACGGTGCAAAATAAAAGCCAGAACAAGTTAGAGAACAGAGAGGGGAAGATTAAAGGCAAAAAGATAGAGGTCGAAGGAGTCACTCACACGTGGAAGATGGTCTTCTGGTCTCCCACCACCTCGCCGTCTCCCACCGTCAGAGTGTCATAGCCTCGCTCCAGGTCAAAATCCTCAAATGTCAGCTTGATCACCTGGACAACAGAAGGGACATTGCTTAGACAACCATAAACGGCAGATGCTTGAATGCTCCTGACACCAAGTGCAGAGGAGAGACCCCTTCCCATCTGTGACTTTCTACCACTCCGTCCATCCATCCATCATCTATCAGTCTCTTTTGAGTATTTGTCTGGCACAATTCCACCAACACATATGTACCAGCTGTGCAGATTATATGGAAAACTTGAACCCTTTATCGTTACCATTTTTTCTCTCAACATTCATGAATCTTCATTATTTTATCCCCTGTGTGTATAATATCAGTTTGAAGAGTTCCATCCAATTATATGTGACTGTCCGTGTATATTTTGCTACAACTGACTTCCTATCAGCTGATTATGAACTCTCTCCCACTAATCAAATATCTGATTACCTGCCAGACGGTCTGCATGACCCCTTCTCTTGCTCATCAAATCAGCAGGTCACAGATGCCTCTGTGGCTTATTAAGCCAAACTTACAGTGACTCTAAGCGCATCAGGAGATGTGGCGGGGGAATTTAAGGTTGTCCACAAGGTGAATCTATGTATCATAAAGGTGACGCAAAAGTTTCAAAAGATTAATGTATTGGATTTTAACAGTGAGGGAAAAACAGAGCTATTTATTTCATCTCATTTCTATGCTGCAGGTGGGAGCGTGGGAAGAGAAGGTAGAACAAGGTAAGGAAATCAATAAGTATGCCCTCGCTGAAGCAAGTAAGGGGCAGCTCTAATAAAGACAGGAAGACAAAAAAGGTTTGATTATGATGTTGTTGATAAGTAAAGACAAAAAACAGGGTAATGTGGGAGACTTAAATATAAATAAATTAAAAGCAAAACAGGGACTGTCTTTGTCTCCGATTGTAAATTGGCTGCCACTGATTTCTGCCAAATTCTTAATGTTTCCAGAGGGCCAAGAGAGCCGGGCCTAATGAAAAAGCTTATATAAATGCAAATTGCATTCTGTCCTATGTTAAACCCAGTGCCTAATGAAAATTGCCAAGGTGGAGAGAAGAGATGGATGGTGTGTAGGCAAAATAGGTCAGATCACTAGATAAATAGAGTTTCATACCACAAAACTCATCTCCCATCTGCCAGCCAACAGGTGAGGCACACAGGGGGAGGAATAAACAAGCACGGAAAAAAGCACAGCAGCCATATATATATAAACTTTATGTTGTTTGCCACCTCTGACGTCATGTCTGACATTTTGGATGCTTCAGAACAGAGACCCCCGCGTCCCTGACACTGACAGATAAGCACCTAAAAGATTGTCAATGAAAAACAGCTGCATTCTGTACCTTCAGGACATCATGAAGAAGCAACACTTGACAAGAACCCACATTAGTCATGATGTCATGAGGCTGCATTTAGGTCTAGAAGAGCTGCGTCACGTCCAACCCACCTCCCTATGCAGTTCCGCCTCAGTCTCCTGCCTGACCTAACGTCTCCTCTGGCTGGGCCCATGCGGACGGGCAGGAATAGAAGCCCATTACATCTCTAAACAGGAAGAACAGCCTCGCTCCATCTTCATCTGGCCCAGACAACAGCGCCAGAGACAGCCCAAAGTACCGTTGTCTGTTTCAGCAAGCTGCCCGCTGGATATACCCAAGGGTGTCTACGTGTTTGTTTGTATGCATGCAAGCGAAGGGTGGGGCTGGGTAGGTGTGCATTGCATCTGATTACCCCCTCTGCCTCGCCTTTCACCTCACATAGCCTCTCCTTAACTTGACACAGTGCAATAAGAGAAGAGATTTGTAAACCGTTTTGTCTGAGTTCAGTGAAGGATATTTGGCAGGAAAGCAGCTGGGTGGCCTTGAACACAACTCCAAAGTCAATGGTCTGAACAGAGTGGCTATGACACTTTCATGATATCCTCTGAGCATGCACTCTAAACCTCTCCATTACTCCTCCGTCAGTTTAGTTTTTTTACTCTCTTCTCCTCTTTCTCACCACAGGTGTTTTTTAACAATTCGCTTTGTCTTCTGTTGGCCCAGTTCCAGTGCCCTTTACCCCCCCATTCATTTCACTTATGTCTCACATTTTTCTATGAGAGCGCTTCTGTCACATGGTGCCCCCAAAAAGTCCTGTTGCAATTATCAAAAGTATAAAATGAGTCATGTGTGTCAGGGAAGAGCTTCCTCTCAAGTTCCTCTAGTACAGGTGCAAACACACCAGTCAACTGCTTGTCAGTTTGCTGGCAGCTAAACGAACTGCTTGGCACACCGCTGGAAACAGGCGCTTACAGTAGCAAAGCTAAATTAGCATCGCACTCAGAGAGAGTTCAAAATCAAAGACGAAACTTATAGGTTAGATAACTAGATCTAAATATGTTTTAGTGTGAGGTGAAGATATCGGCCCTAGAGATGTCTGCTTTCTCTCAAATGTAGAAGTAGATGGCACTTGGCTTGTGATGCTAAAAGCGCCATACGTATCTACACTCAAAAAGTGTGTATCTACAGCTAGCTCACTTAGCATCATGGAGCTAGAAAGAAAGAAGGAGATTAGTATCTACACGCAACTGCTTATGACAAGGTCTCTTAAGTAACCAAGTCATGCTTATTGGAAAGAGACATTGCTACAGGCCAAGTGCCATCGAATTCCATTACATTCAAGAGGAGGCAGACATCTCCAACACTTGGAAACACATACCAAAAAATTCTAGATTAATAAATAGCACAACAGGTAAGAGGTAAAATATGCATTCTGGATTCTGAGGTGAACTGTCCCTTTAAATCCCCTGTTTAATGACTTTTACCTTTGATGTGTCTGTGGCTGTGATGACCCAAGTGCAGTTCGCATTGTTGTCGTACTGGACTGGGTAGTTTGGGGATGTGATGACACCACTGGGTCCTCTCAACTGACCTCCACACATTGGTGCTACAAGGGAAAGACACAGACAGAGGAACATGTTTGACAGTTTGAACGAACTGTTTCTCATTAATAAGCCACAAAAGACGTAGCATCTGTTTAACCAGCTCCTGGATTGCATGTTGAATCCACAAGTAGTGATGCTGTCTGAGTGGAAGTTTCACTGATCCATCCTTCAATCACCTCAGCCTCCACCTGATAGATTTATCACTCACACTTGCAGTTGCATTTTTTGCCTTGTGCATTATGTGTAATCAATTATTTATTTGTGTTTTCTGTATTCTGTTCATAAAAACCCTGTGGGGGCTTTCCAAACTCTCACCTCAATCTCTACAAAGTGACATGGCTAGCATCCTAAACAGAATCCTAATGAGCAGAGCTGCCAAAATACAACTCTGTAATGACTGAAAATGCATTTGTTTAACTTCTTGGTAACACTTGAAGGTATCTACATAAGGGTGACATGACACTGTCATAACTATGGTATGACATGGTCATGAACCTGTCATGAACATTATGTACATGCCATAAACGTTTATGACTGCTGTCATTAAGTGTCATTCGGTTTTTGTAATGACAAGTTGACATTGTTTGGGTTGTCTTGATTATGACAACTTGACATTAATCAAAGTGACATTACCAGAAGTTGTCTTTGTAATGACAAGTTGACATTGTTTGGGTTGTCTTGATTATGACAACTTGACATTAATCAAAGTGACATTACCAGAAGTTGTCTTTGTCATGACAAGTTGACATTGTTTGGGTTGTCTTGATTATGACAACTTGACATTAATCAAAGTGACATTACCATAAGTTGTCTTTGTCATAACAGTAATAATCATTATGTCAATTTGTCATAAACACAAAAAGAGGTGCATTTCTTGTTGATGTCAAGTTGTCATGACAAAGACAACATCTGGTAATGTCACTTTGAGTAATGTCAAGTTGTCAAAATCAAGACAACCCAAACAATGTCAACTTGTCATTACAAAAACCAAATGACACTTAATGACAGCAGTCATAAACGTTGATGACAGGTTTTGACAGTGTCTTGTCATAAAGTGACATTACCAGAAGATGTCTTTGTCATAACAACTTGACATTAACAAGAAATGCACCTCTTTTTGTGTTTATGATAAGTTGACATAATGATTATTATTGTTATGACAAACTGGTAATGTCATCCTAGTTAATGTCAAGTTGTCATAATAAGGACATCCCAAACAAATTTAATGTCAACTTGTCATTACAAAAACTGAATGACACTTAACGACAGCGGTCATAAACGTTTATGACATGTACATAATGTTTATGACAAGTTCATGATAGTGTCATGTCATAGTTATGACACTGTCATGTCACCCTTATGTAGATACCTTCAAGTAAAGTGCTACCAACTTCTTTCAATGTTCCTGACTAAACAGTAAGCAGTTGTTGAAGCTGTTTGGCAAGTGACTGGCAATGATGGCTTGTCCTTATTTTAAACCATCATCAAATTATAAACCTAAGAGCCATCTCAACAAAATCATCCGCTGTGAATTCTCCGCAAACACTTCACTTGCCAATTTAATGTGGCACAATGAAAAAAAGACTAATGGAAGATTCAATAATACAAATAAATCACACTGTTTCTATGCAGATATACTGGGGAGTTGTTTTGTAGACATTGTCAGGCTAACTTATTATTATAATAAAACAAAGACAATGACAGATGATCCTCTGCCATTCCTAAAATGTTTTAAAATAAATTTAGGCAGCCATTATTATCTCTGTGTACTGCCCAAGTATAGCTCATGCATGGGAGACTTTATTGTGGGGATAAAAATACACATAACAAAACACAAATCAAGCATCACACTGTGATATTCTCACTTAATAGAGTAGGTCAAGAGTTAGCAAACCAAACTTTAAAGGACAATGTGACTTTTTTATCAAGGCCCGAGGGTGTCTGCATGGCAGAACTGTTAAATACCCCTTCAAATTGAAGCAGAATTTCTAATGAGTACTTTGAGGGAAGTGAGAGTGTACGTGTGTACATATGTGGGGATAACCTGAAAGGGCTTGAACCAGCTCCCCAAATTTTAATGAGTTACGTCTCAGAGAGGTCCTTCGGGTGCTCAAGCCCCACTCAGTGGCTCCGTGCTCCACCCCTCTCCCACCAAATCACCCCTATTAAAATGAAAAAAGGAACTTTGGCGAAGTTAAAGGGAGAATAAAGTAATTAATTTGAGTTGTGCTGACAGTGAGGGTGACCTTAATGAAAATAATACAGCAGAAAGGATGTCCACTGAAGCTATCATATCCACCTATTTTTTTTTAATCACGGGGATCACTGTGTCTGATACAGCCCACCCGCTGTGTTCAGTGATAGACATGAAAGTGGAACAGGCCACCTCACAACCAAAGTCCCTGAAGAAAAACAATTGCGGGATCTCGGTGTGACCGGAAAGAACTGAATTTCATATCAGGAGAACGAATTTGCAGCCAGAGATGAATTTTTTCCCTGTGCTATTGATAGTGTTGTACAATTTAATGATGACTAATGCTAATTAAGGATACAGAGATTCAATTATGCCTGGATGATGTTTAATCTTTATTGAAGCAGAACAAAGACACAGTAGCAAAGGTTAAATGAGAATGATGGAATGAGATATTTTTAAAGGGCAATTTGACTGACATCGATGTGGATGTTGTGTCAATCTCGAATGTTTCTTTACATAAAACAGAAAAACAACTGAATGTGATACTTTGGCCTACACTCAATCACTTTTTTGTGTTATTTTTTTAGTTCAAAGAGGAAGAGTAGACAAACGTGTCAGAACAAGGCCTTCATCACTATGGTTGGTGTCACAAAGCACCAGAATTATTTTTTTTGAAATGCAGGTGACTGACAGTAGCTCAGATGAGATGAAGCACTGTCAACCCCCTTCCCCTCATCCCACCCACCCATATAATCTATCTGAGATCATGCCACCCACTCCTTTGTGCAGTAATCTAATTTTGGTACAATCGGATCAGTCCAAGACAAAAGAAAAAACGCGGGTACCTGTGGAAAGCAGGATTTATGAGAATGCATTAACTGAAGTGGAGTAACAACGAGGGCCTATAGGTGAAGTTTATGTGGATGCTGCAGGTGATTACATTAGACAAATCCCTCTGAGATTAGGGTGCTCGGAAAACCTAATGGGGAAACTGGTGCAAGATGGTTGATATAGATCTTCCTGCTACATATTAAGGCAAACATGGATGAAAATCCCCCTATTTGTATGTATAGGTTTATGAAAATAAACAAGTTAGTGCAGGTCCATCATTACTTACCCTTATCTCAAACACATTTTCATATAAGCGGTTCTGTTAATGCTCTTTCTCATGTTGTGATTTTCTCAATCTAGGAGCTGTTGCAGAAGTGTTTGTTTTAATTACATTAAACTTTTAGAGTTATCACTTAGCATTTGTTAATTACAAGGCAGTAATGACAAAGGCACTGATTTTTGTGGACAATTTGGGGCAGTGGAAACAAGCTGTGAACACAATGTTGACATGTCATCATCATTTAAGTGTATATGGCAAACAGTACCTGGTGAATATAAATCCAATATTTGCTCTCTTTTAGCTCTGTTTTTGGTCTTCACCAACTCCTCAGAGAAAAATACGTCTCTTCGGCTGCTAATGCTCTGTCATCTTTACTGGCTAGTGGTTAGGCTTGGGTGGTGTCAAGGTATTATGGTAATGCAGGATATAATCCCAGCAGTATGATTTGCAATACTTTTAAAAGACATTTATCTTTCTATTAAATTCATGGAGAGAATGTGTTGAGGTTGTGTGTAGTGCACATCACGCGCCACAAGAGCTCAGTCTCCACTGGTGAACAGGCAGCTGAGTTGACAAACATTATGACTGCTTGTGGTGGGGATAACGTTAAAGGACTGTAAACAGTTGGAGTTGGAAGCAATTACAGCGGGCAGTGGGAAATCACAGCACATTTTCACATCGAACTTAGTGAATTAAAGGAAACGGCCACTTTGGAATGAAAATATCCACAAAACTCGTCCGGGATATCGGAGGATAACAGCTAGTTGGATTTTTCCATACACTTGAAGTGCATGGAACCCACGTCCAAAATCATTTTGAAAATGTAATAAAACTCTGCTAATGCGTTTCAAAAACGTCAGAACGGCTCGTCCGTCATAATCCAGGTGCCCTGAAGTGGCAGCATGCATAATTGACTTGAAAAGACATAATTTACTCCTTTTTTATAGCATAATTTCTCACCGTGGTCGGTTAGCCTGCAGGCGTGCTGTGTTTACATGGCAACTAGCACGAGACTCAAGAACGTTTAGAGACGTTCTTGTTCTCGAGTCTCACAAGGTGCAGGCTAACTGACCACGGTGAGAAATTACGCTATAAAAGTGGAGTAAATTATCTCTTTTCAAGTCAATTTTGCATGCCACAGCTTCAGGGCACTTGGATTACAACGGATGAGCCGTTCTGATGTTTCTGAAAAGCATCAGCAGAGTTTTATACATTTTCAAAATTATTTTGGACGTGGGTTCCATGCACTTCAAGTGTATGGAAAATTCGGCTAAAGTGGTCATTTCCTTTAACGGCTTCTAGTGAGGCACACAAATCCCTTCATACACCATATACTCCCATGAAATTTAAAAAATAGATAAAGTAGAAACTGGAAAAATAGTAACTGACCAAGCCTACTAGTTGCTTTGTCTGTCAGATGTTCGTTTGGTGCTAAGCAAATAGTGTACAGTGCATTTTTAGAGCTTTTCACTAAAGCTAAATACTGAGATGAAACTATGAAGCCCTGTAAAGCGGAGGAACCCCATTCACATTGCTGCATTGTTTTCACAATGTCATCTCATACATTGTTATTGTAAACATATAGATTAAGAGGCTTTAATTTTGGCCTGTGCTAAATGTCTGCTTCACTATTTGTTTTATAACACATTGTCTTTGCTGGTGGAACATAGAGCATTGTTAAAATACCATGGCTAATTTTTTTGTGTGTTTTCTTTTTTTTATTTTTTGCCAGTCTGAGCTATTGTCATTACAAACACGAAGCCTTGCACTGATCAAAGATACTTCATTTGACTATTTTTCTCTGCGCGAGTGCTTTCAGATTAATACTGACAATCAGAGCTCCGCTGAATTGAAACCAAAAAGAATCCCTACCAGAAAACACTGACTTTAAACATTTTGATATGCATTGTGTAGTCTACTAAAATTAAGCATTAAAGTTTGGACCAGTGTGCTGAACGTGCCTTACTAATAATTGGAATTTTTGGGTAGTGGGTTTAGGATTTTTTCACTTTTAAGCTCTAAGAGAACACTACCACCAAGTTAAAGTTAAATATTAATATGTCCTGCTCCAATGAATACACTCCACAAGTCAGATACCCATCAATTAAACCAATTATACTATATAAAAATTCAAAAATCTAATCTGCTCTGATTAATTCAGTTCACTGAGGCTGAAAACTGAAACTGAGGAGAATATGAGCATTGGAGATACCGTACAGGGAGCCTGACCGCTCTTCCTGCCTGTCACAAAATGGTCAGAAGTGAGGAAGACATGAGTGATGGGCAGCTCCATGCCAGCATGGCTAAACAGCAGGAAGCAAAAGAATGCTGGCCATAGGTCAAAGTCAGGCCAGTCGCATCAAAATGGTGAATACTTTATCAAAACAGAAGACAATGGATGGGGCATTTACACAAAATGACAGCACAGGAGAAGCACGTCAACATCAGTGCACATGAGTATGCAAATATAAATGGAGGTTACATTTCGATGACCACCGCTGCACATGTGCATAGATGCACAACCTACATGTCAATCCTTACCTCTGCATATGGGCCGGTCGTCACTCCAGCCTACATAGCTGTCAGTCACTCTGAGACAACTGATGCTCTTTGAGCCCTGCAGTTCATAACCTTCGTCGCAGGAGAAATGCACCGTGGCTCCTCGCCTGCAGTTAGATTGCATACAGAAAAAAAACACATCGGCATCACAAACCTGCCCTGTAAAAAAAACACCTCTCAGCAGTGGGAGTGCACATGGGGTGAGAGTACCAAGAAAAAATGTTTACTGCTGGAGAAAAAATATATATACTTTCCAAGACTTCGCGGGTGTGATATCCAAAAGTGCTGCATGGTGGGAGGCGAATGTTGCCCATTTGTCTGTGTTACAGCTGACCACTGATAGAGACAATAGCTCTGACAGGAATGAAACTCTGTAATCCCACCGGTTATACTGCCATCCCACAGAGGCAGCCTATTAGTGTGCAGTGGCTCAAATGGTAGGGTATTTGTTTTAGAGCACACACTTCTCTATCAGCTTTGGTTGCAGTGGCTTTATGGGGCATGACATTGGGTAATGTGCTGTATGCCAGAACACATTTCAAGATGCAGTCCCTGATTTGCTGTAGCACTTGATCGTTTCCTCCCAGCTCACTGCTGATTAAATCTCAACTGTGAACAAAGTTAAAATGCTTAACGCTGAAACTGGAGATAATTCCGGGATAAATTTGGTAATGAATTTTAACAAAGCACAAAGCCAACACTGGAATTTCAGACATTCATTGCCTGATTATTACAAAAGTACCTTTTTGAAACAGCTGAAAACTAAATTAAAAAAAACACCTCTTCCAGGAAACAGTGGAGGTGGAACTAATTAAAACTTTGGTGTTATTTTATTTAAATACTAGACAACTGAAGTGACAATGAGAGAACAAAAAGTAAACGGTCACAGAGCACACTTGTACTACTTACACAAGTTAATTAGGCCTCAACGATTGAATCAGAAAACTGAAAGCCTTGTGTTGAAGTAACTTATTTGAAGAATCGAGACAAAAGTCACATTTAAAAAAAGAAAAATTAGACTAATGAATGTAATATCTGCAAAAAAGAACTGAAATTGAAAGAAATTATCTTCCTTTTTTCACAAGCCATATGTGTTTATACTGTAAAGCTCAAGCCAATATAGTAATACAGCTAATATAGACTAATAGGGTCACCATTCGCGGTCTTAGAAACCTGATAATCATCTTCTCTGACTATTGTCTGTGTGTGTCAATCAGCCTGTTCTTGTTCAGGAATCTTTCATCTACTCAGCAAAAACTTAATTAATTGCTCATGAAATCATTCTGTGGTTGCTTTTACCTGAAGTCTGAGCCTTTTCTTTTTCCCCGATCCGGGATCCCCGGGTCTGGACACATGTTGTGTCCCTGCGCTACACCCATCTGAGACACTAATGGGAGAAGACAGAAAGATGAAGACAAGTAAGAAGAACAACGTTACCTGTTTAGCTTTGTTAAGTGTCTGTTCAAAAGTCTTTACATGCATGTTTCCCATTAAAACGTAAAAACTCGATTAAGTATAATAAGGCTCATTGATATGTGTGTATTTATAGTTAATTTTCTGCCCTCTGGTGGCCAATAGTCACTCTATCATTACAGAACAAATGAAAAGATAAAAAGGCCGAGCAGAATTTAAGCTGCCAGGCTTTTCTGAATGTCATGCGAGAAAGGCTTGATATTTTCACTGTGCTAGTTTTGTGTACATCAATTAATTTGGCATGCACTGATTTCCCTGCTTAACATTTCTTACCAGCTCCTGGTGATGCTCTGTCTAATCATGTCACTGGGTGCAAAACAGTGGAAGGCAAAGTGCCAGAGGGGGTCAAATAAACTTGGCTGATCAGGAGAGCCCATCTGACTGAGCAGGAGGGGTCACAGGACTGCGGGGCCAAAGCAATGTGACACCTGCTCATTGGCCAGGTTGCCGACGTGAGGCAATAACCAAGGCTCAGTGATGTCAGCAGAGGTAATGACAAAAATGGCAAAAAAAAGGACCGTGGTGACTAACTCGGGAATATGTGACTGTGTCTCACATCTTACTCACATCTTTACAGGATATGCTGTATCTTCAATCTTTGATTATTGCAGCAAACAGTGAGGTGATGACGGAGGTCCAGCCTTGCAGTTCAGTTGTTGGGGATAGTGTTCATTTGCAAGTATTGTCATTATCCAGTACTGGTCAAACATTACTTAAGATGTGAGGAATTAATACCAGTACAACATTTTTGCATGTTACGAGTTGACTCTTTGATATATTCATACAGATTAATCACTGGTTTGGTATAAAAAAATAACTTTTCATAAGGTGAGACGCTACAGGTGAATAGAGTAAAATTATAAAATAACAGATATCATCATGAAACTTCCTCAGCTGATTACTTACAAGAGTATGAAAAAAAAAGTATTACAAGTTTTTAAAAATTTTAACGTTTAATTATGCAAATTAGTCATTATCTCATTTAATATGCACTAATTTGCATATATTTAGGAAGATAAATCTGAGCATCTGATAAAGCCAGGTGCAAAATTCTTGTTTCATTTTGTTTGCATATAAGCTGAAAAAAAAATTACAGAGGGATTTAAGGATATGTGCTTTTATTACCTAGAATATCAAAATATACTGTCCATAGCCTTAAAAAAACTCAATTTTTGCCATTTTTTGTGAATAAATTGTCACATACATCAGGCTGGGAATGATTTATTAACAAATCCCTCTTTAAATATCTTCAGAATATAGCTAGGTGTATAACTGGAAAGTTTGGTGTACATAGGTGCTACAGAGGCTGAGATGTTCGACTTGGAGTATGACAAAAAACTCATTTTGAGAAAACAGCATTCAAAGATTTACATAGGGCAATGTAATACATTTCTATTGGAAACAATTGCTCACAAACAGAATAAATGTTCAGGCCCTTAGTAATAATAATATAGTATATTTCAAGCTCATGAAAATTGATCATTTCTAATAAAAATATTGGCCTACACTGCACAATGCTAACTTTTTGGCAAATTCAGGAGAGACTTGCTGCTGTAAGTAGACAAAATGTAATAAAATAAACGTCTAAATGTATAATTTGAAAGTTTTCTTCATAACAGTTTGAAAGAATACATATTCAAGGAGTAAACTAGCCCAATATCTCAAAATATAAGGATAAGGAGTCACAGGCGGTCAAATCAAATAAAACAAAATACTAGAGACAGGGAGTTTTAAAGAGGAAGCACGTTAAGCAAAGAATAAAAAAAAAGCACTAAAGCAATGCAATTAATAGGAAAAAAAGAAAAAAGTGATTGAAAGTGAAGAGACGTGTGGATTAAAAGCAGAAGATAAAGTCGGAGGTAGAGGAGGATAAAATGAATTGTAAACGGCCTTGAGGCAGGATTACCATTAATGCACCTCTTTTTTGTTAGACAGGTTGTTCTTAAACCCTTCGACATCCCTCTGTGTCGCTCCAGTCAGGTGACTCATGGCTGTCAAGTTGTTAATGTTACAGATGTTCAAATAAAGCTGAATGGGATAATGAACGGCGAGCTCAGACGGAGGGTGAGACGGAACAAGGGCAAGGAAGACTGCCATGGTGAAAACAGCAACCAATGCAATTACTGCTGTCCATTTGCTATTAGAACTGCATCTCGAGCACAGACTCTGCGTCCTTTGTGTCTGTACCTCTTACAGCAGTCAGCATTCACCCTGTTCTCTAGCCAAGGAGTGGGGGAAAAAAAACTTTTAAATGACTTTGAACAAAAGTTGAGACTAGTGAAAAGGACTGCCTGGCATCTTCTCCAACAGACAGACGTACAAGTGGAGACAACTGTTGTTCCAGTTTTAAGACTGATGCAATTCACAGGGATATTCACTGCATCAGGGTTGCCTTTTCTCTTATGGAGTTCACTTCCTACTGCAGCCATACCTGCTGCTTCTCCGTGAGCAAAATGCTTAAGCCTTTAACAGCACTGCGAACTCATAGCATGATAGACACTGGTGTCATTCTGCAGTGCAGTGGGAAGAAAAGTTTTCATCCAAGACGCATGAGGATAAAAATACACAGTTAACATCAACAAGAAGTTAAATTAGAGGTGCTTTCTATTTTGCCAGGTAAGTCCACACGTGTATAATGAAGTTGAAGACATCCAGAGAAGATCTATGACGAAAGTCAGAGCCAGGATTGCCTCTACATGGCTCTCAACATGGAGGTGACTAAATGACAGCTAACAGCCAACGGTGCTAACAGTGGAAACAGTTAAAGGTGCTAATGGTGTTAACATGTGGGGCAACTGGAGGGTGGGCATCCCATTTCCACCATGACACTGTTTGGCCTCCGTGGTTGGGATAGTGTTATCAGCAGTAACTGCCATATAAAGCCTCGTTTCCACCGAGCAGTATGGTACGGTATGGTTCAGTTCGGGACCTTTTTTTTCCGTTTCTACTGCGAAAAGCTGTGGATGGTACCAATGGAACTGTTCCTAACCGTTACCATTTTTGGTCCCCCCTCTGTTGGGGTACCTAGCGCACAGATCTGATACTAAGAGGTGGAGCTGTGAACACTGCAGTCTGATTGGTCAATAGCGGACGGTCACTCTGCTCAGGGCTGAGTTGTGGCTGGTTAGTAGTAGTAGTAGTAAATACGCAATGAAAGGATGTTTTGCTGCCTCTTGCAGCAACTGTAGTCAAAAAAAAAAAAAAACTAAATTCACTGTGCCGGGATTTTTAAGGTGGAACATTAAATCGTAATGTTACTCAATGCACGAGCTGACGACGTGACTCAATCAACACACCCTAACTATTCTATATTACAACTTTGACCATTACTTTAGTTTTTATATGACTGACACTTTTACTAATGAGTGGATCTTCAAGCATTTATTAGGGCCGTAACGGTACATGTATTTGTGTCGAACCGTTTGGTACGCGACTTTAGGTTCGGCACGACCCTGTACTGAATTATTGGGCGCAGGATATTATTTTATTTTGTTTTATTTTAATTCCGTTTTTGCGAGCCGAACCATTTAAAATATCTAGTTCCCCAACGGACATATTGAGTGACGGACCGAGTCCCGTAAATCTCCGCTTTCACTTTGTGCAGCGCATTCTCACATTTTGACAACATGGCAAGTGAGCCTGACGAACCTGAAGACCCACCTGCAAACTTTAAGTCCTCCTTTTGGGAACTCTTTGGTTTCAGGGTAAAATACGAAGATGGAAATAAACAAGTGGACAAGACAAAAGCAGTGTGCCGGCACTGCAGAACAGCGGTCGGGTATGTACTTGGAAACACGTCTAACATGCTAACGCATCTAAAGCGACACAACCCGAGTTTGAACGTTAACCGGCACGACTAGAAAAAGCAATCTGGTGCAAACTACGATATCGTCGTCGTTTAAAAAGAAAGAGCGTTTCCCTGACAATCACGCTAAAGAAATAACCAACGCCATTGGAGTTGAGTAAAATTGTTTAAGCTGCACTTTAGATATAAGCATGTTTTGTTTATTGCACTTTAACAAAGTGGGAAAGCTAAGTAAGTTCCTAGTAAAACTGAATCTGAGCAGGCTTTAAAGCTGACCAGCTGCACTATACTTTTTATTTTAATTGAGTAAAACTGTTTAAGCAGAAATGTATATTTATACTTTTCATTCAAAAAATGTGTTAAACAAACAGCAGGATTTTATTTTTCACTTTTATATTTCTATTTTCATTGAAACAATGTGAAAAAGCAGGATTTTATATATATTTGTTTCATTCAAAAATTGTGTAAAAAGAGTTAACTGCTGTGGTGGTATGTTTTAATAAGGTTACCAATAAGTAAAAGATATTTAATAGTTGTCTATTTTTTTCATTACTGTACCGAAAAAAAACGAACCGTGACTTGTGTACCGAGGTATATACCGAACCGAGATTTTTGTGTACCGTTACACCCCTAGCGTTTATATATATTAATTTCGGCCAGGTTATGTGAACTGCATATATTCTAATTCTCACACGGAGACAAGAAAAGCATTGCGTAGCATTGGACTAATGCAACACTAAACCCCTGAGCTTGACTGAGAAGGACTAAATGCACAAACCCGGTATTTTTAAATATCCCATGGAGAGAGACTCTCACTGCAGCCTGTTTTGTTTTGAGCTATTTCGTTCTGAAAATGTCGGCATGCAGCCTCGTTCTGTGGACAAGAAACGGGGTGCAGAAATACACTGAGTCCTGGACAGACCAGTGAGTGACAACAACCCCGCCCACATTTAAAGATACAGTTTGCAGTGGAAAACTAGGTACCATGTCTGACGGATTACTTTGGGCTCCAAAGGTACCATACTGAAAATGTTTGGTGGAAACGGGGCTTAAGTGCATTGCAAAGCGGCGGCAAATAGCTAGCCAGTGGGATACACACACAGGGTGTTACATGCACTACCATGCAAACCACAGCAAAGAACAGAGAAGCTCAGATTACAACACACACAGCGCAGGCCTGACTTCATTCTCTGCTCAGGATGCCAATACTCTCTTGTAGCTTTTTATAGCACAGCATATAGCATATTGCACAAATGTTTGCTGCTACACTGATGTTCTGAATGTCACATATAGCTCTTTTGAGGTAACATTTAGGATAGGGTTGAGTTATTTTCTCCTTTGATAACTCAGGGGACACTGTACTGGATAAGTGAAACTTTTCATTTCCTGCTTTCTTGCTTATTTCAGAGTTAAATTTTGTAACTTACACACTGATATCTTGTGGTGGTTGTCTTTGCTCGGCAACATCTTTACACCACGAGACTTCAGTTCAGTCATCTTCTTCACTGTGAGGGAAAACAAAGCAGAGAGACATATGAGACAGCAGGAAGTGAAATAATGACACCCACACATTTCAGCAGTGTCTAAATGTCTACAGCAGATACAGTATATAATATGTAATGTTCCATACACCATTGCCCACGCCCACTCCACGTATGTTCAGAGCCGTTTTGACAAAGCCAGTAAATAAAAAGTTCTGCTAAAACTTGTCAAATGAGAAAATGACTGAACTTTTTGACTATAAAACCGAACTCTTAACATACAATTGTTTGATGTTACACCATAAAAACGACACATTTAGTTTACATAGAAGAAGAGAGCTCAACAATTTACAATTTCTTTGCATCTCACACAGAAAGGTGCGGGGAATAACATTATTATTATTAGATGATTAGGATTACAGGGCACGGTATATGAGAGGCAAAACCACTAAGTTTCAGACAATAAAAAGATGACGTTTAAATTATTGAGTTTCATGCAGAGAAAATAAAAAAGCAAAGCCATCACAGCAGAGTAGAAGGCTCATCTAAATGCATACTTATTCGCCAATTTCAAAAACACCATCAGCATTGTCTGTGCACCCCTCCACACTCATCCTATTTAATTACTTTGACGGTTCCTGACAATGGAACCTTACTTCTTTTGCATAAATGTGTTTTTATCCTTTGCTCAGTTTCAGCTGCATTGTCATTCAAACCTAATCTCAGTTGTGTGTCAAAAAGTCTATTTATTACACGTCTGAAAGGAAAATCACAATACAGAGGCTCTTTTCAGATTTGTGATTAGAGTAGGAGGAGTAAGGTATTATTATGTTTCCAGTAAGGAAACTAAGCTATTAAGTGCAGGGTTTGATAGGGTGGGGCTGTTTCCTGTGCCCCGTACGATGAAGACGACTCAAGAAGAAATGAAAGAAATAGAACGAAAGAAGATATGCAACCAACAGCCGCTTTATCGTTCGAGATGCTGCTGCTGCTGCTGCTGCTGCTGTGGAATCATAACAAGTGTCACGATGAGAATGGCTGGTGGGAGGTGGGGGATGGAGGAGTGTTTAATCTAATTAAAGTATTAGCCTCCCGTTTCTCTCTCATCTTCTAAACATATTTATCTAACACTGAACCTGTAAACCCATAGGCTCACCGCCTTGTCTCTCTATCTCTCTTCATTTCATATTTCTCTCTTCTTTCTTTCATCCCATCATCTCTTAGATTTCCATGTGATGACTGAAGGTGAGATCAGTATAGATCACCTTTTTTTGTTGATGAACTTATCTTTTTTCCCTGGTCATGCACGGGAGAGTGTATGTGTGTGTGTGCATCCATGTGTGCTTGTGGCCCTCTAATAATAAGTCTTCAAATCCTTTTTGTTGGACCTGAAAACATAATGACTGTTCCCTCCCTTCTTCTCTTTTCCCTCCTCAATTCCTTTCCTTGCCTCCTCTCCTTGCATCGCCCTCCCACCTGAGATGTGAGCAGAATAGGCAAGGAGGAGTCAAGGCAACAGGCTTTCTAGACACCCGTGCTTTGTAACAGTCGTTTTAAGGCGACGCCAATTAAATATGATGTGCGGCACAGCTGCATTATCAGCTGTGTGTCGTGCTCTTTATATACATTGTGGGTGCCAAAAGACTTTCGCAAATGATACACATGTGCATTCCCGCTCATAGCTCCTCCGGCAAGCCTCCTCTCTCTTTAAAATGCATTTCAGGAATTGAGATACTTCGCAGAGATCGATTTTGATTGATTTCAGGGTCACACGCAGGAGGACGGAGGACAGGGGAGATGGGGAGGCAAAATAGAGAAAAGGGAAGAGCCCCCTTTTCCTTTTGTCTTGACAGTGGCGCAAAATAAAAGGCCACTAACATAACATCAACGTTGTTTAGGAGCAAGAATGTGCTCAGCAAATTCCAAGGCAATGTGCCACTTAGTTTGTCCTCTGAGGAGTACAAATGTGTTTCACTTCAAGGCTGTCAATGACTAGATTTTTGTTATTTCTCACATTCAAGTGGAAACTATACTTTGATTTTGTTACAAGACAAAGGTTCAGTGGCTCACCATAAATATTAGGATTTATCCTTACTTTACCAAGGAGATCTAAATCAAATATGAAAATACAGCAATTATATGCAGACCCTCCTGTCCAAAGTTAAACCTGGCTCACATTATTAGTGGTTGTTTTTTTCAAACATCAAAACCTCTCTTCATCTCACCTTGATACTGGGCGCTGAAACCTCTTAACTTGTGGTTGCCATCAGAGGTAAAGTGCAGTCGGAGCCAATTCTTGCTGCTAATGATGGGTGAGGGAAGGTTGGGGCCAGTGAACCTGCAGACACCCAAACAGAGAGAGATTATTAGCATTTTAGCACATACCAAGCAAATATGAAGGAAGCACACTGCATACTGTTGTCATATTTCACATATCCTGTACACCCAAAAATGGTTTTAACGTCAAAGGCTAGGTATGTACCAGTGCCATCTGTGGCATCAGCATAACCACTGATACACTTCCTTAGTACATGGACAGTAGAAAATGACACTGTTTGTTTCAGATAATCTCAGTGTCACTTTATTTATTATCAGCCGCCAACGTCGCGACAGCTGTTATTGTTTTCACCTTCTGAGTCTGTGTTGGAGTGTGTGCGTCATCATGGCAAAATGAGGACTTGGTGACAGCTTTTGTAGCAGGAACTATTGCAGAAGTGTTTTTGACTACTTTATACATACAGGTGTCTTTGGACAGCTTATGTCACAGCGATAGCGTCACAACTGAGTACAAAATAAAGGCTGAGTTATAAGATGGGTGTGGTCCAATGCTAGGGGGCCAGAAGTAGGGGGTAGGAAGTAAGGAAGGAGCAACTGGGCACCCTACTTTATGCTCCTTGTCCACATTCGTTTTAAGTTGCAATTGCTGTGTTACTGATTGTAAATGCAGCTGGAGTATTCCCATCGCAGGATGGTCTTTAGTTTATCCATTCATTTCATTTACTGTGTCCAGGCATGGCCTTGTGGACACAATCAGCTAGGAGTAGAAAATGTTACCGTGTTAGGTATATTGTATCCTGCTGTATTTCATGCACATCATTTCTTCCTGAAGTAATATCTCTGACATCTTCCTTTCACTCTATCAGCTTGGACCTGTGCTTGCTCATTCTTCTGTTTTGTGCCATAAAGCAAATATGTAATCCATCAGATTTCCAATGAAGTCAAGCACAATAGCAGACAATATATTATAGAGGCTGGCAGAAGCTGCCAGTCTTAGTGGTGTCTGTCTTGTTTGTTTATGGTAATTATCCTAATGTTTTAAAATTAATGTGGCCTTGACTTAGAGATGTTAAAATGTTACACCTTTAAGATCTATTAAAAGGAGGGTCTGGTACTCAAGGGGAACTGAAATGTTAACGACTCTTAACCAAACTGTGGCCCAATAAAAAATGGGAGCAGGAAAGACCAGCAGTGGCATTTGCAGAGAAAGGACACTCCTTTTATTGCTTTGAAAAAAGCAATGGTGAATTATATTTCACAAACACTTATAGTGCCTCCTGATCTGTATGCTAATGAGGGCTGTTGCTTACCAGGCACTTCTTTAGTTGTTAAAGCCAAAGTCATTTGGGAACACATCATGTTTTATCTGGAGACACACAAACACAATCTCTCTCACACACACACACACTCATAAACACACATACAGTATGCGCACCTCCATGCCTAGGCACACATTCAGACAAATGTGCGCATAAATTCCACTCGTCCATCTGTAAATTACATTTCCCCAACTGTGTCCACCGTCCAAACCTACTAATTCACTCTATAGAGTAGATACATACTGAGGCTCACCTCCAACCAGCTTTTATTAATACCACAAGAAAATAAGCAAAGAGAAAGCAAAATGGAAATGCGATTAAATAATTCAATAAAACTGAGAACTACACTCTAAATAGGTATGCGACACATCTTGCAAGCTAATAACTGTTCATCTTTGAATGCAAAAACAAATTTTGGGGTACTGATGCCACAAGGACAAAGGAATAAAACAGCTTTGAGCACACAGCTCCAACCCAAAAAAAAAGATAGCGATCTACCAAGAGGAGATACTGAGTTTAGAGAGGGTGTTTGGTGGAGATACAAGACCGGCTGCACTGCAGAGCTCTCTGAGGATCAATTAAAATCATGTAGGATTCTAGATGTAGACAGAATAAGCTTTTATTTAAAAAAGAAAAAACAGAGCACTATATCCATTTATAAAGTAAACTGTTGCTGCAGTGGGGCGTCAGCTTCACTGTACAGTAGCTAAACTTACTAGCTGAGCTGAACACAAGTTCAACTGAAGGATCGTAGGGAGAGACAGAAAGAGTGGAAAGGACTTTTTGAAAGAGTTTTGGGCAGCAGTGAGGACAAAGCGCACGGTAGAAATTAGACAATGACTAAATGAGAAAGAGAGATGGTATGTCAAAATGTCAGTGATTCAGCTTCTTCAGCCACACTGCACACAGACAGCAGGAAGATGGAGCAGAGTGCAGAAGAGACAGTGTGTCACTGATGAAACTTAAGCGAGTCTCCTGCTGTTTCCCATGGCTGCTTTCAGCGTGTCGCAGGTGTGGCCACAATTCCCTCACTTACAAGTCAGTGACGCAAGTGACCTCAACCCTTGGTGAAGAGATTTCGACTGAGGGAAGGCTTCACTAATCAAACGGTTATGTTCAAGTCACAAAAGGTGAAGGTCAGGGTCAGGAGCACGGATGGCGTTGACCCTATGTTCTCTCCAGGCGAGGGAGCTCCGTTTTATACTTGCGTCAAAGGCCCGATTATAAAAGTGGGTGTTGTGAGAGTGAGTGTTGATCACAGTATGTGAGCAACATTTTCCACAAGCTCACTTGCTCAAGCGACACTGTCAAAGTCAGAAGCTCTATGAAAATGTTGAACTGAGACTTCTGTACTGCATAATCCACCGGCTATTTTGCTGCTTATGTTCACCTCACCAGTTCATCTTGTATTTGCTTCACACAAACCACTTCTGCTTCTTCTAATAATTCAAAAAATACTTAACACTGACCATCCACCAAGTGATTTTAACCCAGAAGAGACTAATCCTACCATCTTTCAGCAATAAAATTAAAGGTTCTGCAATTGTTGTTCTTTAATTTCAATTAAGAATAGGTATAAAATAACCATACCATTATTTTCTTCTTTTATTTGGAGCTTTGAAAGAAACAAAAAAACAACTGAGTTAACAAAAGACAAAACTGTATTTACAACTTCACTATCCCCCTGCCGTGTTTCATCATGTGACCTTTCAAGGCCGATGAATTCACGAGATAATCAAACAGGAATCCAGCCCTGATTTGCTACATATCCTGGTCTGAATAGCTCCCACAGCAAAACCAATACTGCCAAATCTCCATCAGTGGACCCATTTCTACCGTCACATGATATACACTGTCATACTGCCCAACCCTACCTGTCTTAAATGCCGTCAAGGAAACATGGTTTCCAACAGAACAGGTTGCATTATCAATGTTAAATTCGTGTACACTTGGTTGTCCTTTTCCTGCACTGAACATTCCCCAACTACCCCTGACTTACAGCTTGGCCCTTTATCTAAAGCACTCATCAAACACACTCTGTCTTTACTGGTATTCTCTCTAATTTTTCTTAATATTTTTTAACATGTGCATAATCAGGTTATATATCTGATCACATTATTATTGAGGCGTAAATGTAAAACCATGTCGTACCACACTGGCCTTGATTTACAACGGCAAGTGCAACACTGATAAAGTGAGTCGGCATGCCTCAGGAGAAGTTTTATCACTTTAGAAAAGATGAAGCGTTGAGGAGGATCATGTAGTGTCTGGCACATGTGCGTCTGGAGTGGTACTACTAAAACAGAGAGTGCCAGACCTCTGGCTCTAAGTATATAGCCGGGTCCTGAGACAGCTCAAAATCCTGGTGCTATATCTCACACCTATGAATTACAGTGTTTGATCCCCACCGCCCACATGCACGTACAAAGGCCTCCAAACACCAAAGTCGAGATTTTAATACAAACATATCTGTCAGAGTTACTCCCCTTTCCACCAGAGGGACAAATAAAAATGTCCTTTGAATTTAAGGGCAATTTGAGCTGGAATCAACTTTCATTAATACGCAACAAGCAAGCTAAAGACTGCCCTGAGATTGTGATGAAATGCAGCAGTGGCAGAGGATAAGGAACTGATGGGTATGCCATTTAGGATTAGGAGATTAATAAATATGGGATGAGGGATGAACAGACCACCATAAATATCAGTTTGACCTAGTGTCACCTCTGCCTCTCCTCATTTCACTGTCCGCCCCTTCTTTTTTGCTGAAAACATTAAAGTTTTAGGGTGAAAGTGACCATGGGGAGCAACAGAAAAAGTCCTGAGCTGGCTGATGGAGGTCTCCTGAAGGGTGTTGCAGCCACTTCTATAGTTCCTTTGCACCTCACCCTCTCGCTGGCTCTCTGTCTAGCAGACCATATTAGATTTTATGCGGAATTGTCTTGAGAGTGCAGTGCTAAATCAGTTTCCATTTCCAGGCCCCAAAGCTCCTCAGTCTGAGTCAGACTTTTGATGATTGTCCAAGAAATGTATTTTTGGGCAAGGCAAGGTGATAGAGGCAGCCAGTGGTGTTCTTGACTGAGGGGACTGAGCTGTGAACGACACACTGACACACACAGCTTTCTGAAAAACAGAGAGGTTTCTATGCAGCGGTTCAACTTCCATTTACATTTTTTGTTATCAACATTCATAAAGGACCTGGAAATGGTTTCATGGTTACACAACTCCACCGGCAACATCCGATTTCCGAGTATCTGAAGTCAGATTTGCAAATCTGTGTTGCTTAGACTTGTCTTTTCTCTGTCATGTTATGATTGAGGGTCTTAAGAATATGCAAGACCAGTCAAATCCATTTACGTAACACCAGCATAGAGATACTTTCCATACTGATGAGATGTGACTCATTATATAGTTAATGCCTTTCAGGATTTTGAACAAAGGTCGCCGTCATCCGGCAATTCAGCAACCCTTCCTCATGGAATGGGCCTTTTTCCTGCTTTATATTCATCGTTTCATGTCATCTGTTTTCTGTTCGCGGGGCAGGGTGTCAAATTAGTCTATGCATAATCAGTGATGGGCGGAGTTTAGGTGTCAAAGGTGACTGCCACCACATTAGGATCAAACACTTTAAATCACCGTTCAGCGCATGAAATCATTGTGATGTAGCATCAGTTGACCACATATATGCGTCCACGTGTGGGTGGCTGCATGCGTGCGGCGGGGAGGTTCTGGACGAAGAACGTCC